CTTGGAAGAAAGGAGAAAAAAGTAGACAGTCACTTACCTATTTCATAAAAACTAGCCCTATAATCCTGCCTCTTGCACCTTTCTTCTTAGTCACACCAAGCCTGGAGCCTCCTTCCTAGTTAGACTAAACACACTTCACTGCCTTCTCTTCCCTATCTGGTCAGTGCAGCTTTGAAGTCACTCAAGGTCTTCATGGTGCAGCCCCAGATAGAAGGCACCTCCTTGCTGAAACCTACACAGGGCCTCCTTATCCCCAAGTCACCCCTGTCCCCTGCACTTCCTTCCTTCCCAAGACCATAGCCAGCCTGGTATTCCCACAACCCCTGAGCCCAGGGGCTGAAATCTGCTTCTTGAAGAGCCCTGGACCTCCTACAGACAGGAGAGGAAGGAAGACTTAGGAAGGGCAGACAATGGCTTCTGAGCTGCCCTGGGCCTGGCTGGGCCAAACTTCCACTGGGGCATTAACTCCACTCTCCCTGACCCTCTCTGAGCTGCTCCCCAGGAGACCACTAGGGAACAGACTAATTCATCTTCCATTTCTGTCCTCCCCTCCCTTGTCCAAGCCTAAACTGCCACCCCAAGTCCTCCCCTTTCTCCCCGCCCCCATACCCACCACCAGTGACACCTACCACAAACCATGACTTCCAGCTGTTCAATTCTCAGCCCTCCTCTCTCTATCAAAGGCATTTGTTCTAACTCTTCTCCCACCTCCCTGGGGCACTTTCCTAAAGGCCATGAAGTGTCCTAGGACACTCTGATCTTCCTCCTCACTTACCAGCCACTCTTTCTATCTATTCTGTCTCCAAAGCCGGTTCCTAGTCCCACCCCAGAGCCGAATCACTGCTTCTTCTCTATGTCAATCCCTCCCTAAGTGAACCCACCTGACGCAGCCTTTAAATTCCAATTGTAGATGATGCTGCTAAAATGTCACTGCCATCTCAACCCACCCCAAACTGTCCCCAATTTCTATTCACTATCACATGGGTACCTATGGGCATCTCTAACAAGACATACACAAAGCCACCTCTGGATTTTCCTACTAAACACCTCTTCTCTTAGGCAATGGCAGCCCCAAACTCTCAATCATCTTTGACTCACTCTGTTGCTCTTATGCGTCCCAAACTATGCACTCAACCTTTGAAGCAGACCCCAAATCTTAAAGCCAGAGATTTTCTCTCCACCTCTCTCTATGCCAGGATTCAACCCCCCCCCCCCCCCCAGTGATCCCCTCTCCTGCCATCAGCCCCTGCAGCCCATCCTCAGCCTTCAGGCTAGAAGAACCTGCTGTACCCTAAGTCAGGGCAGGAGCCTCCTCTCATCCCCTGCTCAGGGCCCTCTGTTACCATCAGAATGAGTTAAAAACCTTTACAGCAACCTTCAAAGTCCAGTGCAGCAGACCTGAGCTCTCTTCCCCTTCCTCCTGACCCCAACCCACTCTTCACCCACCCTGCTGAAGTCCCTGGCTGGGTCTTCCTTCCCGAATAAGCAGGCCTGCTCCTACCTGTCATGATGCTGCTTTGCACAAGCTCTTTACTCATGAGGCACTCTCTTTCTCCTAGAAAGTCACATGGCGTGGCTGTCACATCCTTAAGACTTGCTCAATGGTCACAGTCTCAGAGCAGCCTTGCTATGCTATGCAAAATCGGCAAAACCGCAGTCCCCAAACCCCACCCCAGCTTTTGTTCACACACACACACACACACACACACACAGTAATTTTCAATGTCAGAGATGGCAAGCATTAACTCATTACACAGCTAAAGCCCTTCTAGAGCACGTACTCACACAGGAAGAAACTGTCTGGTTTTTCCATTAACATATCCTCATGCATAGATGAACTTTGAATGACTGAGAATGCATTTGTTCCTCAAGGCTCAGGAAGGTGGCCATGCAACACAAGAGTAGAATTTACAAGAAAAAGACTAGTCAAATAGCCATGGAACAGCCACCTTGTAAATAATAAGCTTCTGGTACTGGGTCACATCAACCACAGCAGGGCTATAACCTGGGAGGGAGTGGGGTGAGATGGAGCTAGTATCAGTTCAGATCTGCATGTGAAATCAAGAGGCATCCAATAACCAACAAACCAGGGGCTCTGGCAGCCTCGCAACAAGTTGGACAAAATAGAAGCACTGGTCTTCCTCCCAAAGAGGCCAGAGAGGGCTGACGGGGCCAGTTTTTCCCTCTGTAGAACACAGACTTGGAGGAAACCAAGTCACAGTCCATAGGAAAGCGAAGGTCCCAAGCCACAGAAGTCAGAGCAAATCAGAAACCCAGAGTCCTACTCCAGTCATCCAGAAGCAAGAAACTCATCCTGAGGGGTGGGAGCTAGTTTGTCCACACCAGCTTGAGGGGCAGAGGAGAGAAGGTTGAGTGCTGGGCAAGTGGGTCTGGGCCTGTCCCAACAAAAATAGGATTTAAAGCTAGCTGCCACATCCACCAATGGGGAAACTAAGGCAAGAGACTCCCAAGCATCATGGATCAGCACTTGGGATTAGATTGTCTAAAACCGAAGATTGGAAACTGAGGCCTACAGAGAGGGGGTAGCTGGGCGAGTGGCCTCTGCTCAGACCCGAAGCTCAGTTTCCTCCCTCTGGGGTGAGGACCTTACTAGCAATCTTTTCTTCCACTGTCTCAGTCACCCCTAAGTCGTAAGTCCCAGCCTCCCCACAGCCCTCAAACGCTCTGAAGTCCTCCTAGTGCCCTAGACTTTTTCTGTAACCACGACCCATGTTGCAGGGGTGGGGGTCCTCCAACCTCCAGGTTCCCCTTCCTTCTACTGCCCATCTACTACTGAATTGAATGCCTCCAGGGGAAACAGAGGCAGGGTGCCCCCTCCCCCCCGGAGGGGGGAGACCCTCCTGTGTTCATGGTCTCTGCAACCTCCGCCCCCAGTGCTCATGGTCTACCTGCCCACTTCTGCACCCAGTCGGCCTATTCCCCAGGGAGCGTGCACAGCCCCCAGAACCACCAAGCACTCACCATGTCCAGTGATCCCCTCAAAAGACAGGTCAAGACTTCCAATTGCAGCCACGCCTCTCGCCCCGCCCACACCAGCCAGCTCAGCCATGAGGCCCCACCCTCCTTCACCTGGCATCCAAGGGACCTGTGTACAGGAAAATAGCTGCTGCCTGCAGTCCTGGCCCTATACGGCCGCCTTTCTGGGCAACTTTTCAACCAGGAAGGAATCACAGAGTCCTGGAAACAAGTCCACATCATGGCTCAACACACACACACACACACACACACACACACACACACACACAAACCTACCCTGTGAAACAAAAAGCTAGGAAAATCCTCAATGCCAACATGGATGTTTGCACCCTCCCAGGGATCTGTAAGCCCTTAGTCATCAACAGTCTTAAATACAGAGGCATTCTCAGATGGTACACTGGGTGGAGACTTGTCGGAGCATTTAAAGTTCCTCTTTTACCCTTGGCTGTCAGTCTTGTGCAAGCTGAAGTCAAGAGACCGCAATTTAGTAACCTGCCTCTCAGTCTCCCGGGCTGGGCTGCCTTCATCCTCACCAGAATTCAATAGCATTGTTTTGTTCTATTACATTTATTTCATTTTATGACTTCCTATTCTTAAATGTTATTTTTAAAACACTTGTAAAGTCTCATTTAAAAGAAAAAATAATGAGAATTGACATTAACAGAGCTTAGCACAAGTCAGCCTCTGCACACAGTAGCTCCCTTAACCCTACCTACACAGTACTATTTTTGTCCCTAAGTTATAGATGAGAGAAGTGAAGTACAGAGAAGTTCATTAGCCTGTCCACACAGTGACAGCAGCAGGATGTGCCCCAGGCCTCTAGCACCAAAGGATATGTTCTATCCACTACCACTACCCTACACTGCTTTTAGGCAAGTATCTTTGTGGGTGGTACCCAGGCAGCTGAGGTGGGTACCTGCTGCACTGGAGAGGTAAGTTCGTCCCTAAGAAGAGGTTCTAGTGGTGCACAGCGCTGTCTACAAGGGTGCCCATGACCGTGCTATCTGCCACATGAAAAGGCGGGAACCAAAATAGCCAGCAGTAGCAGACTTCTTATAACAGGGTTTTTTAATTTTTTCCATCTATTTATTTATTGTATGTATGTGGATGGGTACACAGGAGCCATGGCATGAATGTGGAGATCAGAGAACTTGCAGAAATCAATTCTCGCCTTTTACTATGTGGGTTCCAGAAGCTCAAACTCAGGTTGTCAGGTTTAGCAAGTGCCTTTACCTGCTGAGCCATCTTATCAGCCTGATGTAACTTCTCTTTCCTTGTTTTGAGACTGAGTGTAATGTTGCCAACATGGGCCAAGAGGTGGCTAAGGCTAAGGCTAAACTTGAAGTCCTGATCTTCCCTCTTCCATCTCTGTATTGGCTGAGATGGAAGTCCTATGCACCTCCAACACCCCTATTTAGGGTGATGCTGAGTATTGAACCCAGGACCTCTGCTATGCTAGGCCAGCACTCTACCCACTGAGTTACATCTCCAGCAATAGCAGAATTCTTAAAAAAGAAGGCTGACTGCATGCATGTGGTACACTTACATATATGCAGGCAAAAGAGTCATACACGTAAAATAAAAATAACATTTAAAAATTTTGCACTAATCCCTTATATGTGAGTATATAAATTCTGATGTAACACCAGGGACCAGGAAAAGGGAAAGGACACATGGAGGTAAAGGAAAGGAAAGACCCTGAAAGGGAGATGGTAGGGAACAGATGTTACCAGGGGGGCATGGGGAAAGTGGGATTGTTTGACAGGAGGAGAGGAGAGAGAGACATGCAAGGGGGGAGGGAAGGAAGTCAGGAGAGGGAGGATAGGGGGAGGTTGTGGTATTGTGGGGAGAGTAGGGATAATGGGGGTGCTGTGACTAGGGAGGGAGGAAGGAAGCCAGATGGGAGAAAAAAGAGTAGAGATGAATGAATCTTGGTGGGGAGGGGGGGCTAGAAAACCTAAAGGAAAAAGTGATGCCCTCAAAGCCCCATGAGAAATGCACAT